AAGTTCTCTGTCATAGCAATTAGCATAATTCCCAGCATCAGACGGTGGATTTGGTACATTCGCAGGCGTAACGCCGGCATCATCAGTGAGTGTTGTCATTCTCCGTAGCACTAAGCTATGAACGCGTCAGAGACAAATCGCCGACTACGATGCCGGCTAAATGTCTGAGAATGTACCAAGTCCACTGTCTGAAGCTGGGAATCATGACAACTACTATGACAGACGACTTCGGACTAGGTGCGTTCTACAAAGTCGCCCTGACAACAAGACCAAGTTGCGACAACGAGGTCAACCCACTTATATTAATTCAGAAAGATTGTCTGCTTCTATCTTACCTCTTATATATACACACACACACACACACACACCCTAGTGAAAGTAGCATAACCAACATGAAAGGTAATTAGTCAAACAATCCTATATCTTTCTATACCTGTTCGTTTTCGTTTCATACTTATACAAGATGTAAGATAGAGCCGGACGGTCGTCTTGATCTGGTGTTTGTTAATGTGAGACTTTTACAAGAATGGATACAGCTCTGATGATGTCCATCATATAATGGACGAAAGCTCGGCCCGTTTTCATCCGCAACGAGGGAGGATGTATTGCGGACTGCGTCGACCTGAACGTCGCATCGAAGTCAAATGGCTGCAGTACAACGAAGTTCAACCAACCTCATCATCATGCACTTTCATACGAAATGAACATCTCACCTATTCAAATGTATGCCTACACCCATTGGACAAAGTAGACGTGTTCAGCTGTGTTTAAACATTCCCGATAGTATACGCCAAGTGTGTATTTGTTTGACCCCTGTCTGAGAATGCAAGTTGTGATACTTTATTTTTTATTTCCTTCTATTTTATTTTGAAAAGTCCTTCTTCTCGAGAGTTGGATAACTGTTGAAACTGTGTCCAAGGACTTTTAATTTGCTTCATGGCCTACTGAATTTTGACCTTGGTCTAGTTTTCATCAATCCCCTTAGCGTGATTCGCACTCAGAACGTACGAGTCCTGGACAGACATATGGTCACCATATCATACATTCTAACTTTCACGCAAAGAAAGTATTATTTATTATTACAAATGGATTTATTTTTATACCCTTTATTCTCTTTCTAATTGCTTTTTCTTTGCTCCATTATATTCCCTTGTTTCCTCTCTCTTCGCTGCATCTTTCCACGTGTCCAACTAGCTGTCTTTTCATCTAATCTTATTCTTTTTACCTTCCGCACACTTTTTCAGTCTTTATTCGGTCCTGCTGGTCAAAAAGCACGTCACATTCGTGAATCCCTCCTCTCTGGTCTCGACATGCTCAGTGACAAGAATAAATGCTCTTCTACTGGCATCCCGTTGGCGCTGGCAGAAGATCTGAATAGCCGATATGACAAGCTAATGCTCCGAGAACCGGGTTGTCAGGCGGCCCTTCGAATGGCCAGAGCCCGCCAACACTTTCTTGAGGTCTACTCGGCCAAAGGTGGCGACGGCAGCGAGGGCAGCGAAGGGTGCGAGTCACGCACAAAGAGTGCATTTGGGGTCGAGCAGCTTCTAGAACACTGGCACGAACTGGCCCACGGCAAGCGAGTGGAGGAGGAGAGTAAAACATCCGTCGAGGCCGAGTACGCCGAATTTCAGGTGAGAAACCTTTATTTCTGTCTTGAACTGGCCAATTACAATATTGAATAGTGTGCCAGAATATATGTAATGGTGTATATAGACAGTTTGGTTTAGTGTATTACGGTCAAATATACAAAGGAATACAATATTATAACAGCATGGCGTTGTATATAATAGAGCCTAGTAACTTGGGAACTTACAGTAAAGCTCATTAT